GCGTTCGAACTTTGGCCCGGATTTTTCAAGTTCAGCGAAGAGGCCTTAAACCGGATCTATGAGAGCGAGCTCTACGATAAGATTTCCCGCGAGTTGAGCTGGATCCTCCGACATTCCGGATGGACCCATGCCGATCAGTCGCTCTCAATTTTTGAGCTGATGGCCGGGGCTCGTTTTAGGAAGATGCTCAGCGTTTGGGCTCACACCTGCCATGCCAAGGAAGACTCTGCCTTCCCGGCTGTGCAAAAGGCTCAGATTCAGCCATGGTGTGAAGCATCTGCCGAGCGCATTAACCTGCTGCTACCGCTTGCCATCACTATTACGTATAATCAGAAAGGCAGGTACCAGGTTGGCATTCTGAGCACTGCCGATCATCAGAAGGGTGAGAAGTTTGTTAGTAACCCTTCTCAGTGGATCCACCCAGCCGGTATGACGGCTGAGGATCGCAAGGAGCTGGCCCAGTTATATAAGCAGTACAGGGCAGCTCATGTTTTTGCGCAAGCCGTTTCCAGCCATTCGGGAGGTGCCGCAACTCCATTAACCGGCCTTAAGATCCCGAAGTGCCAGCTCTCCGATATGCCGGACACGCTGGTTCACATGACGGAGTATCGCCACGTCCGCTCGATTAAGCAGTACGGTGTCCTTCCCGGAGGCGTCAGTACAGCCGGCAATAAGCAGCGTAACATGAACCACTTCCTGCCGATCGACGGACTTTTGGTCTCCTATGAACACATTCGACCAACGGCCAATGTGATACTCGTCTTGTCTAAGGCTACGCTGGAAAAGCATCCAGAGCTCATGGAAGATTTTTGCCTGAGCAAGAATGGATACTTTTTGACCAAGGCCGTTATTCCGGCCGGTCTTTTCAGCCTTGCATGGGACATCCGGAACAATTGCTGCGTGTCAACTAAGCTGTGGGATGTCCCAGATTCCACTCCAGCCATGTCAGTACCCGATGAGCCGTACTTGCGTTTTTATTCTCAGCTCTATTGCGAGGTACTGAGGCTGGTAGGCAAAGGCCACGATAAGTTCAAGGCTGAAACCAGGCGGCTTGCGTTTAAGAATATTAAGATCCGCGAGGTCGAGGCATGGCGTGAGGAGGCCGAAGAGAAACTTGACCGCCATCAGCTCCACGGCATGTCCAAGATCCACACTGAGACATGGCTGAGTTTTCTCTCCCTCGACGACGACTGGAAGGATGAAGCCACTAACATGCGTCGTCTTAAGAAGCGCTCGTTGTCGGAAACGACCGAGGAAGAGGGAGATGACCTGATTGATCTAGACGATGATGACGACATGGAGGTCGATGCCGACATTCCGGCAGACGACGATGATGAAGTTCAGGTCATAAGTATTTAGACGCAGCCATGGTGGACGACCTCGCGGAAGCATGCCAGAAAGGCACCTGGGTCAAGAAAGGCACTGTGAAGAAGGAAGAGTCCGATATGCCGGACGATCCTTCAGCAGCAGCCTCATCATCTGCAGCAGTCAAGAAAGAAGAGAAGCAGAGCACAAGGGTCTGGTCCTCCCGTGCACGGTCACGAACCCCGTCTCGTACTGTCCTTAAGAAGGCTGACAATGCACCGGGAGCCGCCCGCACTCCGTCCGAGGGTCGCAGGGTTTCGTTTTCCGATATTCCGGAAACGAAGTACATCGAAGCAACATCCAAGAAGCGTGCGACATCGCGGGCGCGGGAGGTCATCAGCGATGCAAGGAAAGCACAGAAAGCACCAACTAAATTCCATCATCGCCCAGATGAGATGACCTGTTTGACCTGTGCAAATGCTGAAGTACTCTTCTTCTGCAGAGCATGCCGACATGGAACATGCCTTGACTGCTACCACGATGCCAGTAACCATTGTTCCTGCAACAGCATTTATCTCTGTTCGACCGTCCCAGACGCCGATATGCCGGCACCGCTGGGTGAGCACGAGCGCGAAGAGATCACTGCCGAAATTGATTTCACGATTCCCTTCGCAGCCGAGTCCGAGGGTTGGCATCCTGACGACCGTCATGTCGGTCGATTGCACCGTTTGCAAGAAATCAAAGATCTTGTTCTCGGTGGCGGCTCAACAGGTTATGCCGCGATGGATCGAATTGTACTCGAAGGAGTCAGCAAATACCATTACACGAACCATCCAAAACCTACAGGAGCCGTACCATTCCCTCGATTGCTCAACATTGGGACGAACAGTCTGATGTGGCACCATACCCAATCATTCGGCCAAGTTGCTATTACGACTCCAATCGCCGATATACCGGCGCGGAGATGCGACAAATTGTCGAGCTAAGCCGTTCGTACATGCAGGGATATCGCGCGAATCAGGGAGTATTTGACCTCGATGAAGCCCGGCTTCTCCGGTCCACTGAGCACGTCAGTGTCCTGCTTCTCAACTTCGGCGATATCAACCGTACACCTCATTTCAACGGCAGGCAGCCGCTATCCAGGGATCTCGCCGAGACCGATCAATACGCTGTGCTTCCTCATTACCTTGTCAGGAACACAGCCCATATCACAATCCTTCTTGAAGCCAACGGCATCGAGCGTCATCGAGAGCTCTTCAACCAATACAAATGCCTGTGCGTGTTGGCTACATCGGATGGCGAATCTCCCGCTATCGCAGCCGTATGCTCCAGTGATCCACTTGGAACTTCAAGGCTGGAGCTTATTCGTAGGATTGAACTTGAAATCGAACGGTTAGCCTGGGTAGCCCATGCCGCGACATTCCGCGTGATCTGGGGAAAGGTCGAAGAAGAGACAGATGGAGGCATCACCGATGATCGTGGCGTCCGAAAGAACCTCCGTGTTGCCCTTGAAGAAGGCGCTGATCCAGCAAATAACATGGAGGCATCAGTCTGCCCTGACACCTTAGCTGTAGCACAAGCATCCACCACATACATTGAATCTTCGCCAGTGGATGCAGAGGCACTGTTCCACGAGTGTCCGACATTCCGGACCGGGAGCTTGAACGATTGCAAGCGCATGCACATGCCTGAACTTCGAGTTTGCGCTTTCCACATCAATGCACATGCCTTTCAGTCAGGAATTATGGCCGGTAAGAACGCCATCATGAAGATTTTGATCACGGCCGTGGCAGACCAGGTGGACGTCATCGCGCGCGATGCTAACCAGTTCACGAACCGCAACTTCCGGGGCGATCGACATGCCGATCCAGGAACCGGAGCAGTCCTAACCATCCTTGACCAGATTCTTGTTTCTGCGAACAAGAAGCGCGAGCCGAGTAAGCGCATCACCTATAACTGGGAGGTCTCTACCCTCGCCAGTGAGCAGCTCGCTGCTTTGGAAGGTCTGGATGCCGATTGCGACTGCATGTTGCAGATCGTCTTAAATTACGGCAAGGACATGCATACGTTGCGGTCAAGAACATCCGATATTCCGGATGATCGTGGACGTGTCGGATATGAGGAGCCTCCACGCCAGAAAGAGACTACCATTAAGGTCAACGAATTCCTCAAGCACCTGAACCATCTTGATCTGTGTCTGAAGAGCAGCGATTTGGGATACCACCATCCATTTCAGTGCAATTTTTCGCTTGCCAGCCGACACAAGATCAGAGTTCGTGGCCAGCACTCCGCCGAGAAGCGTGGCGAGAAGAATGCCGAGCGGCTTGAACGTTTGAAGGAACAATCTCGGCAGAAGAAACAAGCTTGCCAAGCTGGCTGGCACCAGCCCTGGTCCTCGGGAGCGTCAAGCTCATGGTGGTACACCGGTTCCTCTTCATCATCTTGGAACCCGGGGTACCGAGGCTACAGGGACTGGTAGGTAGTCTCTGCTCTAAGAAGCCGATATACCGGCTAGAGCATTGCCAGAGCAGTAGTCTGAAAAAGCCGATATTCCGGCCGAATACAGGTAAATGCCACAAAGCTAAATGCAGGTAAAATGACCCAGATATTTTTGAACTTAAGGCCTTATAGATTAGACTTCAATTTGATGATTCGACTTGAGAAAGAAGATTTCCGACATTCCGGAACGTTCGGCACAGCAAATATGCCTTTCGTAGATTTGTAAAGATTATCTGACGCAACCTAGATGAGCCAGAATGGCATCTACGGTCGAGTTCTGCGAAGTCAGAACTTTTCGAATTCTTTTGCAACTTTTTGCGAACCTTTTGTACTTTTGAGATCGTAAGCTTCGACACGAAGAAAATTTGTGTCTGTTTTGTGTTTAGTAGGGTCCTAGGTCCCCCTGGGCGTGTCTACGCTATACGTGTGTAGCACCTGTTCTTGTACATACATCTATCTGTAGCTCTTCAGTCCGCTTTCGACATAATTCATTTGGCTCAAGACTTAGCAGCCCGATACTGCATTCACTGCCATAGAAAAGGTGTGCTTCGCCGCAGCTCGCACACCGACCGCTTGTGTTTGACTGCTTGGTGTTTCGATCAGGTCCAGTTATTCCAACTGCCACTTCTGGGGGAACTTACCCCTCACCCCCCCACCCCACCCCACCCGGATGTAAGATGTGATGATGTGGCCGCGTGGGCCAAATTGAAATCATGGACAATTTCCACATCTCACCATCATTTCCCATCGATGCGCAAGTGACCCGCTGGGTCGATGCGGTCGATGCGTAAGTGACTCTCCGATGCGCAAGTGACCCCCGACGCGCAAGTGACCCATTTTGCGATGCGCAAGTGACCCTCCTGCCAACGAGGAAGCTAGTAGTAACAAAGAGCTACTAGGAACAAGTGCCTTACTAGTAGTAACAAGTGCCTTACTAGTAGTAACAAGGAAGCTAGTAGAAAAGAGAAGTGATGCGAAACCACGCCGAGAGATGAACGGAAAGAGACAATAAGAGAAGACGGAAAGAGACGAACGGAGCGGAACAAAGGTGGCGCTACGAACGGGGCTGGCCGGAACGGCATCGCTATCGCTAGAAATATATTAGAAATTAGAATGTAGATAAATAGAATGTATAAATAGAATTAGTAAGAAAGTAATTAGGGAGCATGAAGACCGGAAACACCAACCTTTGCAAGGTGCTGCTGGGCGCAATGATAAAATCAAGGTGCAAAAGCGAAGCATTGGAAAGAGACTGCTGCATCAATTTGCATTTGATGGCCGAAATGCATCTAATTTCGAAATGCGTCGACAAATGCTTCTCACCTCTTCCTTACACTAAATCTAATTCGGTGGACAAAAGAAAGAAGTACATTTTCATACATAATTTGCATGTATGTGACAATGTGAGTGTATGATACCGTGCGATTGACAGGTGCTTGACCAGGTTTTGAAGGACACCAAGAAGGACGGGACGAGACGGGACTCTCCCGGGTCTGAAAGCACCGCAGTCCGCAGTGGTCTGTAGTGGTCCGCAGTCCCGCTCCCCCCCTCCTCCTCCGCTCCCTTCATTCACTAGGCGCCCTCCTTTTTTTCAGCGAGATACTAGTAGAAATAAGGATGCGAAAAAATCAACGCTTGTAGTTGAAATAGCCAGTGACGGAAAGCTCGCGCTGATTTGGGAGGTAGCTAGGTTGGAGGCCACGCCACGTGTCAGGACGGGAAGAGCGTGGGTTTCCTGTGGAGCCAAGGCGGTGACCAGTTCGAACTCGAAGAGGCGCAAATTTGGGCGATGAACGAGAGAGGAACGAGGAAACGAGAAGAGAAAATTGTTTCTGGTCAAAAGAAGAGTTGAGCATGTTGAGACTTTGTGTTCAGGCCAAGACGTGGAGCGCGAAAACGAGAGGAAGAATAGATAAAGAAAAAGACCGAGAGAATTCTAAAACCGAGATACACAAATCCGTCGGATCTAATTCTTCGAACTTGAGTAACTGCCTGGAAGCTCCCTACGTTTTTGTGGTCCCTTGCGCTTGTTAAGTCGGACCACGAAGGCCGCAGTCGGACTTTCTCAGGAACTACATCCCCTTCCTTTCGATGCATACAACAAACACAGAGTGTCTTTCCGTTTCTCACATTTTGGAGTTTGATTAGGAAAGAGGAGCTTCCTTGAAGAAGCGCTTGCACTATTCATGTGGTTCCTAGAATTTTAGGGAAACTTAACTCAATTAGGCAGGCCTGTCTTCCTTTTTTTGTCGCTGTTGCTGACAGCAATGGCCTCCACCCTGTTAGCGATACCCGATGGCCTCCAACCTAGTAGCGATGGCCTTCACACTAATGGGACACAAAAGTAGGTAAGGAATTGAACTAAAACCTTTACTCGAACACTAAATAAGTAATTTAGGGTGCCCGATAGCTATTTTGTTGGAGGAACACCTTTTGGCAATCTGCTTTTAATAGCTTTGACCTTTTGAACAAGAAGGACACTCTCAAAGTCTCCGACTGCAAGGACGCTACTAGGGGCTC